TAGCTCCACCACCTATAGCTCCAGTCCCACCACCTACAGCTCGAGTTGTAGCTCCACCACCTATAGCTCCAGTTCCTCTACATAATCCAGTTCAACCTTCTGCAGCTCCACCACTCTTGACTTATCATCGTCGTCCACATCCAGCATCATGCCCAGGTGATTCACGCCCCACATCAGATTCTGCACCTACTGCGGACTTGTCTCCTCTTAGTTAACCAATTGCACTCCGCAAAGGTGTACAATCCACACTTAATCTTAATCCCCACTATGTCGGTTTAAGTTATCATCGCCTGTCGTCACCTCATTATGCTTTTATATCTTCTTTGTCCACTGTTTCTATCCCTATGTCTACAGGTGAGGCACTATCTCATCTAGGATGGTGACATGCTATGATTGACGAGATGTCTGCTTTACATGCGAGTGGCACTTGGGAGCTTATTCCTCTTCCTGCAGGTAAGTCTACTGTTGGTTGTCGTTGGGTTTATGCAGTCAAAGTCGGCCTGGATGGCCAGGTTGATCGGCTTAAGGCTCGTCTTGTTGCAAAAGGATATACTCAGATTTTTGGGCTTGATTATAGTGATACTTTCTCTCCCGTGGCTAAAGTAGCATCTGTTCGTCTCTTTTTGTCCATGGCTGCTGTACGTCATTGGCCTNTTTTATATAGAGCAACCACCTGGTTTTGTTGCTCGGGGGAGTTTAATGGTTGTGTGTGCAGATTGCGCAGGTCACTATATGGTTTGAAACAGTCCCCTCGAGCTTGGTTTGGTAAGTTCAGCACAATTATTCAGGAATTCGGCATGACTCGTGGTGAGGCTGATCACTCTATGTTTTATCGGCATTCTGCTCCTAATCTGTGTATTTATCTAGTGGTTTATATTGATGATATTGTTATTACTGGCAATGATCAGGATGGTATTACTAATCTGAAGCAACATCTCTTTCAGCACTTCTAGACTAAAGATCTGGGCAGATTGAAGTATTTTTTAGGTATTGAGATCGCTCAGTCTAGCTCAGGTATTGTTATTTCACAACGGAAGTATGCCTTAGACATTCTTGAGGAGACTGGAATGATGGGTTGCAGACCTATTGACTCTCTTATGGATTCGAATGCTAAGCTTCTGCCTGGACAACGGGAGCCTCTTAGAGACCCTACGAGATATAGGAGGTTGGTTGGCAAATTGAATTACCTCATAGTGACTAGACCTGACATTTCTTTTCCGGTGAGTGTTGTAAGTTAGTTTATGGATTCTCCCTGTGATAGTCACTGGGTTGCAGTTGTTCGCATTCTTCGGTATATAAAGTCAGCTCCAGACAAAGGATTACTATTCGAAGATCGAGGCCACGAGCAGATTGTTGGGTACACAGATGTTGATTGGGCATGATCACCTTTTGATAGACGTTCTACGTCTGGATATTGTGTTCTAGTAGGAGGTAATTTGGTCTCGTGGAAGAGCAAGAAACAGAATGTAGTTGCTCGATCTAGCGCCGAAGCCGAATATCGGGCCATGGCTATGGCGACGTGTGAGTTAGTTTGGGTCAAGCAGTTGCTCAAGGAGTTAAAGTTCGGAGAAATCAACAAGATGGAACTAGTGTGTGATAATCAAACTGCGCTTCATATTGCGTCAAATCCGGTGTTCCATGAGAGGACTAAACACAGTGAGATCGATTGTCACTTTGTCACTTTCAGGAGATATTGTTACAAAGTTTGTAAAGTCGAATGATCAACTAGCAGATATTTTCACTAAGTTTCTTACTGGTTCTCGTATTAGTTACATGTGTAACAAGCTCGGTACATATGATGTGTATGCACCGGCTTGAGGGGAAGTGTTAGTTTACAGATATGTATAGTGTAGTCTTGTCCCACATTGGAAGAGGAGTAATATCTCCTTGTAGTGTCTAGCTATAAATAGGGACCTCTTGTATTGTATTTATCATCCAATATCAATAATATATTTTCTCCCGTGCTTTCTCACAGGATCTACTGGATAAAGTATTTCATATAAGTTATAGGCGTACACAAGAATCTATAGTTGTTTATTTCTTGTTCTTTCTTTTGTCCATTTTCTTGTCTTTTTTTTTTTTAAAGAATGTTTATGGCCCATGTATATGCTGATTTCTTGATCAGGGTGCCTTTTTTGCCCCTTTTATAAGACATTGATATGCATTTATTTTCAGTAATATAATTATATAACATTAAGATACTTATGTGAGATAGTCTAGTAGGCTAGGGACCTTTCTTGGGTTCAAGGACTTGTTGGGACTTATTGATGCTGGTTCCCTCATGCTATTTTTTGTTTACTCTTGTTTGGTTGTTTGCACTTCATTTGACCATCTAGTTGTTGTAGGGCAAAATACCAGAAGAATGTTGAAGCATACCATAATAGGAGCGGGGCGATGAAACCAAACATTGTACCTAATTGCATTCGATCAGAAAATTACATGATTACCTTTGAGGTTGAGGAAGAGAAGTATGTAAGCCGCTTAGCATTCAGTGATGTTTAATCTTACTGTGTACCGCTTTTGAGGCAATTGATTATGTCCCCTTGTGAATTGGATTTCAGGTTTCCCTTCTTTGGTAAGAAGTACCAATTGAAGTTTGCAAGTGACATCTCTGCTGAAACCCATTGCTTGGTTCATTTCCCAAGCCTGCTCAGGTTCATGCCTTTCAACATCCTCTATCAAATTTCTTTGATCAAATGTTCATCCATTTGAAATCATTCTTTTTCAGTCATGGGAATAACCAAACATGTTTTCTCTCTTTTTCTTCTCTTGATATGAATCTGGTTATTCTATTCCAAAGTTCTACAAACATTATAGGCTATCTGTCTGTTTCTTTGGTTTGTTTGGTTCATTTTTTTGAGCTTCAGATGTCAACAATTTATCTTGTGCTTCCAAGATGGGAAGAAATATTTTAGTTTTTCTTATTTTCTTATCCTTCCAATAGTGATAAATCCTGTAATTAACATATTCCTCAGGTTGGCCAGAGAGGCCGGTCTTGAGAACACAGAGATTCAGAACTTGACAGATTTTTATGATGATAACAGGTAATAGATTGTAACCTACAACTTCACCATCATGCCTCTTTCATTTACTTGTTTACCATCTTAATCTATTATGAAATTACCGAAATATTTAGCACGTAATTGACGAAGCACGTAATCCGTTAATTTTATAGTAAAATGATGAAGTTAACAGTTAACGAGCACTTCTGTATTCTAAGTCTTTTAAAGCTAAACTTTTAAATCTTATAGTTTATTGGGTAGGGAAAGTATGTACTTCATAGCAACACTCTTTATGTCAAAAAGTAGTTTATACATGCCTCGGAGTACTCACAGAGCACTCAGGTGGATTTAATACTGTCTGGCCAACTTGTGTACATCAGAGCAACTCTCTTCGTGTTATGAAATGCTTTGTACTTGTCTCACCAAGTATACCATAGTATTTCCTAGTAAGTGCGAAAGAAAATGGTTACCCATCACTTCAACCTTTTTCAATCGTTTTGTCGTGGAGGACGAGTATTAGGATTGAAGGTTGACAGATTAGTCGCGAGTCTCTCCTAGGCTTGTCAGTAAAACTAGTCCTATTGTTGTATTTTCTTATTCCTGGTTCGTTATTAGTACATGTTGTGTTATTCGTTTCCATTACCCTATTACCTGTTGCTGCTATTGTTTGTTGATAAAGTTCACTGTTCCTTGAGCCGAGGGTCTTCCGGAAACAGACTCTCTATCTTCGAAAGGTAGGGGTAAGGTCCGCGTACACACTACCCTTCCCCAGACCCCACTTGTGGGATTACATTGGATTTTTTGTTATTGTGGTTGTTGTTGTTGATTGCATCGTAATTTTCTCTTTCTCATTATAACTTTTTTTCCTACGTTGCTCTTTTTGGTTTTTGTTAAATTCCGTTCTTCCAAGGTTATGTTAGGGTGGTTAGCTGGATGGGAATAACTGAGCAAACAGTGGATAAACCTCTGTGCAACCTACTTCATAAAAAATAAAAAAACTGCTGTGCAACCTGGTATTAGTGCTTGAATTTGTTTTTTTTCTGATAAGGTAAATTGTATTAATCAAAAGGGAGAAAAAACTCCCGTATACAAGAAATATACCAAAAAGTAGAGAATTTACATCAGAACATGATTCTCTACAAAAGACGCCCAATCTTCTACACAAGTAGGGGCTATATGGGTGCACCAAAAAGCGATCAAAGATAAAAGACTATTCTTAAGATGTGAAAAAGGAGACTCAATCCCCTCAAAACTCTCTCCCCAAACCTTCCACATGAGAGCTAATGGGGCGAACTTCCACGCCATTTGCTTGATTCTTCTACAGAAACCGGCCCAGCTATATAGCATTTCCTTTACAGTGTTTGGCATCACCCTTAGTGCTTGAATTTGTTTTAGCATGACAAAGTTTTTATTTGTTTCAAAGGGAATAACTGATAATGTGATAAAGATGCTTCTATTTAGCCTTTTCTCTGTTTTCTTAGATTATTAGAAGTGTCTGTTTATGTAGACCATTGTTTTCAAGCGTCTTTAGGCTCCATCCATAAAGTTCTTCTCTTGTAAATACGATCTGATAAATTACTTCTATCAGAGCGGCTGATTCTTCTTTCATTTTACTCCCGTTCATAGAGCACAAGTTCTTGGGATACTACAAGATGCAGGCCATAGCTTTATTGATCCCAGGGGAAGACTTCTTCCCAGATCATATGATGTTTTAGGTAATCAGTCTATTCACTGCATTGACCATTTACTAAAAACTAGTCATATTCCTACATTTTTCACTCATATACCATCCTTGTGGTATTTTCTTATGCAGGTCTGTTCACCACATTCATATTTCAAAAGCCTGATCCAGATATTGCACCTCCACTTACGACTCCCTTTTTGCCTGTCGGAAGCCACAATCCTGATGAGGTAAGTTACCTTTAACTTCAGGATAAACAACAACTAATCCCCGGTCCCAAACAAGTTGGGGTGAGCTATATGAATACTCATTCCTCCATTTAAGCTCAACTCATGTAATCATCATATCAAATAAAATAAAAGTGAAAAACAAGTTTTAACGATAAATATATAGATACTAGTAATAACAATAATAATATTAGAAGTTCTATAACAAGTCTAAAGCCTATTCCCAATTAGTAGATATCACCTATATGGATCTCTGTCTTCCATTGTATCCTATCTTTTGCTAAGTCTGCATTGATTCCAAGGATTTGTAGGTTTTTTTAGAGTCTACCTTAGGATAGGACTAAAATTTCTGTCCACCTTTAAAGCCTTTGTTCAACTTCATAAGGTCTTCAAACTGTGTTTAAAAAGCATAATTGTTTTTGGAAGTGAACGATCCCATTGAGTTATTGTTTGACTCTTTAGATTAGCAGCATCTCGGTTAAATATTGCCATTGTTGCAATGTTATTCCTAGTTGTTTATTGGCAGAGAACATCTCTGTCTTTTGCTATTTAATATTGCCATTGTTGCAATGTTATTCCTAGTGATCTAGTGGTTAACTAAAATCTCCTCATGTTTCAGATGGATTGGCAAGTCATTGGATGGAATGAAGAGGAGAAGAGTGGACTGACTGATCCATCTATAGGGTTGGGCAAGATAACTGAACAAAAAGGGATTTTAGGTCCTGGTCCGCCCGAATTACGATTCCCTGAAGCTATTTGATGTGATTGGTGTAGACATTGGATAGCAGTTGGAAGGACCGTGTCGGTTTCAGTCATTTCATCTCGTTCGACCAGGGATAGATATTTTGGTTTGTTGATCGGCAAGATGTGTATCATTATATCATTTTGTTGTACCATGGATGGAATTTTTGGTTAGTGGTTTGGCACCATGTATATAGATCCTTTCGGGAACTAGATAGTTTCGATGTAATTAACAATTGAAGATTCATCTTCACTGGCTTGACAAAAATTGAACCGTTACCTACTTCCTCTGTGGACAAATATGCTACAGGCCTTAAATATATAGATGTTATGCAATCATGTATTCACAGATTACAAGTGATTTCGAGGTTGCAGTTTTTGACTGATGAAATATTTCTCAAATTTGTTGATAATTTGAGCATTTGAAATTTTAAATTGGCACTTAATTCTGGATGAGTAAACAGACACACACACACAATTATGTTTAAATTCTGTTTGTCGGAATGCAGATTTTTCACCCCTTTATTCGGTGTGAATGTTGATTTTCCCGTTTGGGTTTTCTTCCTTTTCCGGCATAAACATATTGAAGAAAATGTAATGCATGGCTCATGTTTTGTAGACAAGTTAATTGAGTTTTTCATTTCTCAAAAACATTGATTCTCATAAATGGAGTCTCTTCTTATTTATTTTGTGACAAATGTGTAAAAGATAACTATAACAAGTTAAACAAATAGCACTGCGATTGACGTAAAAAGAGAAAAATATTGACAAAATTAGAAGTCAGGCGCCTTATCCATTAGGCCGCGAGCGCTTTCCCAGAGCTGGACTTAAATTTCTGTTTGAATTTATGTATTGAGTCCGTACGGAATTCAAGAAAAAATGATTTTTTTTAAAAAATTTATGGTCTAAAATATGCAATAACATTTGTGAGTATAAGATTTTGAAATTAATGGCTTTAAATATACAATAATATTTATGTGATTATACAAGTTTCTCAATAAGGATAACATGAGAAGTGTATAGTTAGTTGTTTCTAAATTTAGAAGAGTGTCATTCTTTTTTGAAACAGCGTAAGAAAGAAAATGTGTCACATACAAAAGGAACGAATATAATTGTTAGAGAGTTCTGACACCTCTCAACTTATTGTAGAACTAGTTTGTCTATATCATTTTTCGGAAACAAAAATGATATCTATATCTATACCTTACTACAGAGGCGGACCCAGGATTTGAACGTCGCGGGATACCATTATCTTTAACGTAAATATGAAAATAACATTAATTGCAATAAAATTTGGCGTGCAACTCTTTGAACACTTAGTGATTACGAGTTCGTGGCCGAAAGAATATTTAAAAACATAAAAAACTTACAATCGTGACTAATAAAAGTCTGTAAGCAGTCCAAAAAGCTTCAATCGAAGTCCCAGAGTGAACGAATACTTGCTACTTTGCCAAAGTAAACGTTGAAGGGAGAAGATTTTAGTTGTCTTTATTTTTTTTAAATAAAATAATAATAATAATTGATTAAAGATAAAGATTATTGACTAATGAAACTAGTTAATGATATATTTTATCCCCCTTTCCTACTGTCTTTAATCATTATTTTTGTGTCTATTAACTTTTCAAAGTCTAGAAAGATGTATCTCCAATAGAGTTTTGAGTATTTTATGGAGAAGATACAAAGAACTAATTGTGAAGAGAAGTTGAGTTTTGGAGCTTAGATGGAGAGATTTTAAAAGAAAAAAATTAAAAGTGACTTCTATGTACTATCGTTGAAGGGAGAAGGGTTTTAGTTGTCTTTATTTTTTCTAATAAATGAAATACTAATAAAAATTGGTTAGAGATAAAGATTATTGACTAATGAAACTAGCTAATGAAATATTTTATCCCCCTTTCCTACTGTCTTTAATCATTATTTTTGTGTCTCTTTATTAACTTTTCAAAGTCTAGAAAGATGTATCTCCAATAGAATTTTTGAGTATTTTGTGTAGAAGATACACGAGTATTTTGTGTAGAAGATACAAAGAACTAATCGTGAAGAGAAGTATGTTTGAATTAAAAAAATAAGTAAACTGAGTTGATTACTAAACTGTCGTTCAATTAAAAAGGAAAACATAGAGAAATGGTGAAGTAATTAATATTCCAGCCTGGAGAACCAATACAACCAAGGGGCATTTTGTTGTTTTGGAGGCACAATTAAAATATTATAGAGGTCTTCGACGTATATACAGTAATATATACATGGTTTTTCCCGAGCCTATAGGGTGCCAGTGACCCCTCACCTCTCCACGTGGGTCCGCCCCTGCCTTAGTATCGTATAAAAGTTTACACGGAAACAGCGCTAAGATATGTGATACTATAGTGGATAATAGAAATAATTTTGTTTTCCTATTACACTATGCATGTTTCCATTTTTCCAGTCATTATTTCTTAATCATTTAAAAGTTTCTCAAGGAATTTATTTAATTACAAGATTAAGCATGTGGCATTTTTCTTAAACAGGGGTTTAGCATATGACATATAACATGCAAAATAACAATTCATAAAGTAAATATAACCAGAATTTTAAGGTTATTTATAAGGTTCATCTAGTCTAGAATAAGATGTTGTACTTCCTATTTCATCATTTTTTGTCAAATCAAATCTTGTTCTATTTTAAATAGCTCTTCCTTTTAAAAGAAAATACTGTAAAAAATTAGAGCAATCTTCCTATTCGTAATGTACGATTTCCTTCAAGCCTTTTTAGTTTGTGGGGTAAAAGTAATGTAGTAGTATCTTTTTTAAACTCCATAACATTAATTTGAATTTAGCCAACCGACCCTTAAGAAACTAAAAGCCCTTTTGGACATAACAAGTTTTTCACTTTTTTTTGAAAATTTTTCACCTATTTTTTTTCCGAAACGGCCATAAAATTTTGAATTTTCACTTGAAGATGAATTTTGAAATTTTTCGAAAATTTGAAAAACTCCAAAAAGCTATTTTTCAAAATTTTTACTCAGATCACTCACAAAAATTCAAAAATAACCCAAAATTATATTCATGTCCAAACACAACTCTAATTTTCAAATACCATTTTCACTTAGAAAAAAAAATTCACTTTTTTATGAAATTTTACAATTCTTATGTCCAAACGCCCACTAAATTTCCTAAACTAAACTTTCATATCTTAACTTCCCCCTAATTTAACTCTTATTATCCAAAAACAAAACCCTAAGTCGGTTATATATTGTGTAGCCACCAAGTAAACCATCACTATATATATAATACTCCAAAACAAATTTCAAACGAAAATAGTTCTCACTTCATCGTGCATGGCCTTAAATATCACTTCATCATAATCACCTTAATAATTCCTCCTTCAACCTTAGTATCAATCACCTCAACCTTAGTATCAATAATGGCTCCTCCAATAACAAAAACGACGCCTCAGTACCAAACAAATTGGGATTGCGCCTGCGCATACCAAACAGGTTGGAAATGCTCGTGTGCATGGGCATGCGCACGCGAATGCCAAACAAGCGCATGTGAATCCTCACCACAGCCAAAAACAATATCATTTCCTCCAATGGGTTTCACAGAGAATTGTTCAGCAACTTTTCTATCTACTGGAAACCCATGTTTAGATTTCTTCTTCCACATTGTCCCTAACACCCCCACCTCAAGAATTATTGAAAAGATTGGAACTTTCTTGGAAACGTGATGCTTTGACAACCCTTAAGTTTATTTGCAATTTAAGGGGTGTTAGAGGCACTGGAAAATCAGACAAAGAAGGGTTTTATACTGCCTCTTTATGGCTTCACAATTACCATCCTAAAACCCTAGCATGCAATATTAATATTTTAAGGATGTGTTGGAGATTTTGTATAGAATTCTTGAGGGTCATGAAGTTAGAAAGAATGAAAAAGCAGAGTGGATGGAAAAGAAAAGAAATGGTTTTATGGAGGGTTTAAAGGAGAAAAAAGATAGGGTTCCTAAGGGAAAGGCCCAAAAAATCCGACTTAAAAAGACTATGGCTAAGGCAAAGAAATTATTGGACAGATACACAAAAGATTCTGATTTTGAATTCTTGTATGATAAAGTCTGTGGTGTCTTTGCTGATGCTTTGAGGGAAGACATGGAGTTGTATAATGAGGAGAAGCTTTATGAGCTTAGTCTTGCGGCTAAGTGGTGTCCATCTCTTGATTCATCATATGATAAGTCATTGCTCATGTGTGAAAGTGTTGGAAGAAAATTATTCCCTCGCGATGACTATATTGAATACCAAGATCTGGAAGACGTGCATTATGCTTATCGAGTGAGGGATAGATTGAGGAAAGAAGTACTCGTGCCACTCCACAAGGCGTTGGAGATTCCAGAGGTTTATATTTGCACGAATAAGTGGGAAGAGCTTCCTTATAAACGCGTACCCTCTGTGGCCATGAAATTGTACAAGAATTTGTTCTACAAGCACGATCAAGAACGATTTCAGCAGTATCTTGAAGATGTGAAGAGTGGGAAAACAACAATAGCTGCTGGTGCTCTGCTTCCACATGAGATAATTTCCTCGTTGAAAGATTCCACGGGGCTGGAAGTTGCAGAGCTTCAATGGAAAAGAATGGTTGATGACTTGGCAAAGAAGGGCAAATTAACAAATTGTATGGCAATTTGTGATGTCTCAGGAAGCATGAATGGAACCCCAATGGAGGTTTGTGTGGCTTTGGGGCTACTTATTTCTGAACTTAGTGAAGAACCTTGGAAAGGAAAAGTAATTACATTTAGTAGAAATCCAGAATTACAGAAGGTGAAAGGGAAAAATTTGTCAGAGAAGACTGGTTTTATTAGGAGAATGGACTGGGGTGATAATACAGATTTTCAGAAAGTGTTTAAACCCCTTACTGCTGACACAACATACAGATACGAAAAATATGAGCTTTTTTAAAGAGTAAATCGCCTTAAAACGATAATATTCTTACATTGCAAATTGGTTAACATTACTTACAGTTGATTAGTTCTGTTACAGGAGCAATTATTATAGCCACAGCTGAACCTGGTTTTATAGCTCGAGTAGACAATTTTCATGCATTCTGTTAAGCTAAGAATGTCAGCCAATTGAAACATACAAAGATGTACAAACCTAATTCTCAAGCTCAATAATCTTCACCACAGATGAGTCACCAACTTTCTGGAAAACAACAACTCGGTCATGTGGCTTTATAACACCTGCTGTTTTCCCATGGTCCAGTGCAACCTTCAATACTGACTCATCGGTTGCATTTGTGGACTCGGCCTGAAGAAGGAAAGGACAAAGTCAATATTCTGGCCACAGCATACCGAATATTCCAACAAGAAGAAAGAGGGTTACAATAACTATGAAGTTAAGAAGGTCAGAAGGAAGATTATGCACTTCT